TGTGGATATTGAAGAATCTTTGTGCCCCTGAGATAAACCCCACTTGATCATGGTGTATGATCCCTTTAATGTATTGTTGGATTCAGTTTGCTAGTATTTTGTTGAGGATTTTTGCATCTATGTTCATCAATGATATTGGCCTGTAATTTTCCTTTTTTGTGGTATCTTTTTCTGGTTTTGGTATAAGGGTGATGGTGGCCTCATAGAATGAGTTTAGGAGTGTTCCTTCCTCTGCCATTTTTTGGAACAGTTTCAGAAGGATAGGTGTTAACTCTTCTCTAAATGTTAGAATTCACCTGTGAAGCCATCTGGTCCTGGACTTGTTTGTTGGCAGTTTTTAAATCACAGTTTCAATTTCAGTGCTTGTGATTGGTCTGTTCGTATTTTCTATTCTAGTTAGTCTTGGAAGGTTATATCTTGCTTAAGAATTTGTCCATTTCTTCTTGGTTGTCCATTTTATTGGCATACTGTTGCTTGTAGTAGTCTCTTATGATCCTTTGTATTTCTGTGGTGTCCACCATAACTTTTCCTTTTTCATTTCTAATTTTATTGATGTGAGCCCTCTCCCTTTTTTTCTTTTTGAGTCTAGCTAAAGACTTACCAATTCTGTTTATCTTTTCAAAGAAACAACTTTTAGTTTCATTCATCTTTCCTGGGTTTTTTTGGGTCTCTATTTCATTTATTTCTGCTCTGATCTTTATGATTTCTTTCCTTCTACTAACTTTGGCTTTTGTTTGTTCTTCTTTCTCTAGTTGCTTTAGGTGTAAGTTAAGGTTGTTTATTTGAGATTTCTCTTGTTTCGTGAGGTAAGATTGTATTGCTATAAACTTCCCTCTTAGAACTGCTTTTGTGGTGTCCCATAGGTTTTTGATCATCCTGTCTTTGTTCTCATTTGTAGGTATTTTTTGATTTCCTCTTTGATCTTCTTCAGTGATCCATGGGTTGTTCAGTAGCATATTGTTTAGCCTCTGTGTGTTTTTGTTGTTTTACAGGTTTTTTTCTTATAGTTGATTTCTAATCTCCTAGTGTTGTGGTCGGAAAAGATGTTTGATATGATTTCAGTTTTCTTAACTTTACCCAAGCTTGCTTTGTGGCCCAGCATGTGATCTGTCCTGGAGAATGTTCCATGTGCACTTGAGAAGAATGTGTGTTCTGCTGCTTTTGGATGGAATGCTCTATAAATATCAGTTAAATTCATTTGGCCTAATGTGACATTTAAGGCCCGTCTTTTGTTACTGATTTTTCTGTCTGGATGATCCGTCCATTGATGTAAGTGAGGTGTTAAAATCCCCCACTGTTAATTGTGTTACTGTCAATTTCATCTTTTATGGCTGCTACATCAAGGTTCTTCTGTGTTGACTACGTATATTTTTACAGTTGTTAAATCCTCTTCTTGGATTGATCCTTTGATCATCATGTAGTGTCCTCCTTTGTCTGTTGTAACAGTCTTTAAAGTCTATTTTGTCTGATATGAGTATTGCTATTCCAGATTTCTTTTGATTTCCATTTGCATGGGATACCTTTTCCCATCCTCTCACTTTCAGTCTGTATGTGTCCCTAGATCTGAAGTGGGTCTCTTGTAGATAGCATATATATAGGTCTTATTTTTATATCCATTCATCCAGTCTGTCTTTTGGTTGGAGCATTTAATCCATTTATATTTAACATAATAACTGATATGTTTTTGTTGCCATTTTGTTAGTTGTTTTGGATTTGTGTTTGTAGGTCTTTTTTCTTCCTTCCTCTTTTTGTTCTCTTGTGATTTGATGACTATCTTCAGTGTTATGTTTGGATTCCTTTTTCTTTTTTGTGTGTATATCTATTGTAGACTTCTGGTTTGTGGTTACTGTGAGGTTTTGAAATAGCAGTATGTGTATATATACACAATTGTTTTAAGTTGTCCCTTATTTCAAATGCATTTTCAATATCCTACATTTGTACTCTTCTCTTCTCACAGTTGCTGGTTTTGATATCATATTTGTGTGTGAATGATTTCCTACCTTTACTGTATGTTTGTTTACCTTTACTGGTGAGCTTTCCCATTTGTACTTTTCTTGTTTCCAGTTGTGGTCTTTTCTTTTCTGCCTAGAGAAGTTCCTTTAGCATTTATTTGTAAAGCTAGTTTGGTAGTGCTGAATTCTCTTATTAGCTTTTGCTTATCTGTAAAGCTTTTGATTTTGCCATCAAATCTGAATGAGAGCCTTGCTGGGTAGAGTATTCTTGGTTGCAGGCTTTTCCCTTTCATCACTTTAAATATATCGTGCCACTCCCTTCTGACCTGCAGAGTTCTGCTGAAAAATCAGTTGATAACCTTATGGGGATTCTCTTGTATGTTATTTGTTGCTTTGCCCTTGTTGCTTTTTTTTTTAAGCACTGTAATTTATTTTTCATTGAAGTAAAGTTGAATTACAATGTTGTGTCAGTTACTGCTGTGCAGCAGTGACTGAGCTTCACACACACACACCTTCTTTTTCGCATTCTTTTCCATTATGGTTTATCACAGGATGTTGAATATAGTTCCCTGTGCTATCCAGTAGGACCTTGTTGTTTATCCATTCTGTGTATACACCAGTTTGCATCTGCTAATCCCAAACTCCCACTCCTACTTTCTACAACCCTCCTCCCCCTTGGCAACCACCAGTCTATTCTCTATGTCCCTGATGTTTTTTCTGTTTCATAGATAGGTTCATTTGTGTCATATTTTAGATTCTACCTATAAGGGATATCATATAGTATTTGTCTTTATCTTTCTGACTTACTTCACTTAGTATGATAACCTCTAGGTCCATCCATGTTGCTGCAAATGACATTATTTCGTTCTTTTTTATAGCTGAGTAGTATTCCATTGTATTTATGTACCATATCTTCTTTATCCATTCATCTATTGATGGACGTTTAGGTTGTTTCCATGTCTTGGCTGTTGTGAATAGTGCTGCTATTAACATAGGGGTTCATGTATCTTTTTGAATTGTAATTTTGTCTGGATATATGCCCAGGAGTCAGATTGCTGGATCATATGGTAATTCTATTTTTAGTTTTGTGAGGAACATCCTATACTGTTTTCCACCGTGGCTACACCAACTTACATTACCACCAACTGTAGGAAGGTTCCCTTTTCTCCAGCATTTAACTGTTTGTAGACATTTTAATGGTGGCCGTTCTGAGTGGCATGAGGTGGTACCTCGTTGTAGTTTTTATTTGCATTTCTCTGATTTGTAGTGTTGAGCATCTTTTCATGTACCTACTGGCCGTCTGTATTTCTCCTTTGGAGAAATGTCTCTTTAGGTCTTCTGCCCATTTTTTGATTGGGTTGTTTGTTTTTTTGTCTCCTTGTTTCTTTTAATATTTTCTTTTTGTCTTTAATTTTTGTCAGTTCGATTACTGTGTGTCTCAGCATGCTCCTCCTTGGGTTTATCCTGCCTGGGACTCTCTGCACTTCCTGGACTAGGTGACTGTTTCCTTTCCCATGTTAGGGAAGTTTTCAATTATTATCTCTTCAAATTTTTTCTCATTCTGGACTCCTATAATGTAAACGTTGGTGCATTTAATGTTGTCCCAGACGTCTCTTAAACTGTCCTCATTTCTTTTTATTCTTTATCCTGTTCCACAGCAGTGATTTCCACCATTCTGTCTTCCTGCTCACTTATCCATTCTACTTCATTTATTCTGCTATTTATTTCATCTAGTGTATTTTTCATTTCAGTTATTGTTGAGCTCTGTTTATCTTCTAGCTCTTTGTTAAAACATTTCTTGTATCTTCTTGGTCTGTGCCTCCATTTTTTTCCTGAGATCTTGGACTGTCTTTACTATCATTATTCTGAATTCTTTTTCAGGTAGACTGCCTATTTCCACTTCACTTAGTTGTTGTTCTGGGGTTTTATCTTGTTCCTTCCTCTGGAACATATTTCTTTGCTGTCTCATTTTGTGTAACTTTCTGTGTTTGTAGTCCCACAGGCTGTAGGATTGTAGTTCCTCTTGCTTCTAGTGTCTGCCCCCTGGTGGGTGAGGCTGGTCTAAGAGGCTTGTGCAGGCCTCCCAGTGGGAGGGACTGGTGCCTTGATTTAGATTTAGTTTTAACTTAAGCCTTCATTTTAGAGTTAGTTTTATGAATCATATTTATTGAATCACTTTTTGTAAAAGCAGTGGGGAATTCTTATCTTATTTTTAGATAGCCTTCCATTCAGTTAAATAACAAGTGCAAATAATGGACTTTTTACACTTATTGTTTAGCATGTTTATAATTTCTAAGAGAAGATTTTTGCTAAGTTCAGAGAAGGTTTCTATTATGCAGGTAGTAATGTTGAGTCTCAAGTAACTTACGCACTCAGGGGAAAGATATACAGGTTTATAGTGGCTCTCGTCATGAAAGTATGTTGTTGGTCATTTCCTCTCCAACATCCCCTCTTGAGGTCTTCACTCCAACATCCACTCCTCAGTGACACCTTTCCTGCCTACCTTATCTAAAATGTCACCCTTCTCTTGCATTTCATGTCTTTTTCTTGTTTTTCTCCTTCTTAGAACTCATCTAACTTACTATATTATTATACCTACATATCTTTTGATCTGACTTCCTCATTAAAAAGTAAGTTTTGTGTGCATAAGAGTTTGTGTTTCATTCTGTACTGTATCTCTAGTGTCTAGGACAATGCCTGGTAAGTAGTATGTCCTCAGTAAATGTGTGTTTAATGAGTATATGTTAACTACACTCTATATATAGATTTTCTATATATATATATAAATACATATATAGATTTTCAAGGTAAAATCTGTTATAGCTGCGTGTTTGCAATGCGTCATGAATTTGCATCAGAGGAGGTAACATTAAAAACTTGTTTTTAAAAAAGTCTACTTTTTATATGTTAAATTAGAGACCTTAATCTTTGAGTAATAGTTGAAATCATTTAAGAAACTGACACTAAGGTAGAAATCTGGCACATAAAAACCCATAAGCAGTGCTGCTTCGGTTAGATGATATTAAAGTCTTTTTTTTTTCTGTACAGGTGCAAGTGGCATGAAGAAAATGATATTGTCCTCTGTGCTTTAGCTGTTTGCAAGAAAATTGCGTAAGTTGGAAAAAGGAGTTTCTTCCTAATGCTCTATTCTGCACTGAATTCTTTGCAACTTTGCTTGTTGTTGCTTTGGCATTCAGGGTGCATCACTGTTTACCTCTATTTCCACAACTGTCTTTTAAAACAAAGGTTTTTTTAGTCATGTTACTTGTATTCTTCTGCCCATGTCACTACTTGTCTGGTGGTTACCACCTGAGCAATTTGAGCCTTCAGAAGCACTTATTGAAATTTTTTTCTTCTAGGATTCCTGTAGGAAAGTGAAGTTCCCTACTGTCATTAAGAACAGCACTTCCTTGTGAAGGTGCTGAAAACATATAGACCCTTTTCTCCTCATTTTGTAGGGAAAGTACCTGCAGCCTCAGCTCTGTGGAAGCTCTGGTAACCCCTTTACACAGCTGATGATAGTTGGTTCTGAGGATGAATAAGTGTTTCTAAGTTTTCGCCCTGTTGCTGTTGTTGCCTCTCCCTGCCTTAAATATTTGAGAATTCTGGTGCTCTTCCCCCTCATTCCCATTCACTTATAATGGATCTGAAATTTTATTTGGTAATCAAAGTATTGCTTACCAGTAATGACCAATTTTATGATATGTACTGCTACCTATTCCCATTTTTTCTCCAAATCTCTAAATTTCTTTTTTCCCAATTTACAACAATATCTCACATGCTTTGTCAGAAATTTTTTAAATGTGAATGCTTTTAGAATGAATTAGATAAGATTCTGATAATAAACATTTTAAATTCCTTTTTAAAGATACTGCATCAGTAATTCTCTGGCCACTCTCTTTGGAATCCAGCTCACAGAGGCTCATGTACCACTTCAAGATTATGAGGCCAGCAATAGCGTGACACCCAAAATGGTTGTATTGGATGCAGGGCGTTACCAGGTAAGGAGCTCACTTTTCCGGGCTGCTAGTCTCTCAAGATCAGGCCTTTGTTTGGTTCTCTCTTCTGTTAAAAAATTTTTTTGATCCTTCATGGAATGTCAGTTTTTAATCCAGTTGGATCTTACAAAAAATCCTTTTTCTTCCTTGTATATTTTCCTACTGTACTTAACAAAGAAAATTAAAATTAGCATTAGTGTTTATACAAAACACATCCAAACAGTTATTCCAAAAATTATGTGATACACATTTTTGAAGTAGATATTTTAAATATAAGACCTGATTCAGGATTTGATTAGAGGCTATCTAATTTCCCTACCACCCCTCTTCCCTCCTTGGTATTTACTTACTAGTAGGCCTCTCTACACTACCAAGAGCATAGCAATTAAGAGTATGGGCTCTTTCAAGTTAGAATTCCTAAATTTCACTTCAGGCTCTGCTACACATAGGCTGTGTGACTCTCTGCAAGTTATTTGAACTTTCTGTGCCGATTCCGTATCTGTAGAACAAGAATAATAATAAGGGCTAGTAGTCGTCGTAGGATTAAATGCAGCAGTATATGAAAGTACTAAGACCTCTGACTTAGTAACATTTATTATCTACTATGTTCTATTTTTAAATAGTTAATAAAATAGTGAAAAGGGAACCCCAAAATGGAATGAACTATTGATAAAATAACTATTAGGATCAATCTCAAAGGCATTACTTACGCTTAGCAAAAGCAGCAGTCTCAAAAGGTTATGTAATGTATGATTCCATTTATATGACATTGTTAAATACAAATGATAATGATGAAGAACGTATCAGTGGTTCCCAGGGGGTATGACTGTAAAGGGATAGTAGGAAATTTTTGAGGTGATAGAATGGTTCTGTATCCTGATTGCAATGGTGGTTTCACGAATCTCTTCATTTGTTAAAACTCGTAGAAATGTACACACCAAAGAAGTCTGTCTTACTCCATGATAATTTTAAAAATAAAAAAGAGAGCTCTCCATATAATCTCTGGGCAAGACTCTTCTCTCTCCTGTCTGCTGTTAACCCTTAACCCAGTGGTTCTCCACTAGGACCTATTTCGTGTCCTTCAGGGGACATTTGGCAACACTTGGATACATTTTTGGTTGTCACAGCTGGGGAGGGGCGCTACTGGCATACAGCAGGTAACTTAGATACCAGTAAGTCTGCTAAACACCTGACTATGTACGGACAGCCTCCTGAGCAAAGTATTATTTAGCCTAAAATGTCAGTAGTACCCAGGATGAGAAACACTGCTTTAGTCCTCTCATCACCATCTGTGTTGAGACTACCAGATTTTGTCTCATTACCCCTCTTTTCATTGTTCACATCAGTCACTATGGAAGCTCAGGATACCTAGATCCTTGCTCATCTCCCACACTCATCTTGTTAGGCTGATTCTGTTTTTCATCCTTCCCCAACTCCTGAAAAACTTTGTGGGTCTTCTCAATCTCAGTTATCTCAGTTATCAGCAAAATCTCATGTCTTCAACCTCCTCTTGGGAAGGTCTGTTTTCCTCCTTGGCTGTAACTAAAACTTGTCTCTCCTCTAAAGATACTGCTTCCCTGTTAGCGACACTTTTTTTCTCTCTCTCATTTATCACGGGCTTAGATTTGAAGTAGTTGTCCTTGTTTAACTTTGTGGCCTCTAGACTTCTTTCTGCCTTCTCCCTAAAATCCCTAGGCTTTGAATCACATGCCATTCAGGCTGTAGTACCTGATAACCCCTTCTTGGAGTCAATAGGCCCCTGAGTTGGTCATCCTCATTCTTAGAGCAACACTGAGCCAGGAGATCAAACAATATTCCTGGCAGAATTCTTGATTTCAGTTTCCCTATAGATGATCCTTCCAGCTGCCTGACATTTCTGTTCCTTGATTTGCCCTTCTCCAGTGATCCTGGCCCCTGCCATACATCAAGTATCCACTCCCGTGATCATATTCTAGGCCCCAATGGCATCTCCCCATAATCTCAATTTCAAGCATCCTACTCTCTGACTACCACTGTCTTTCTCTGGTACATCAGTGCCAACAGTTCTTTGATCTCTCCTGGGACCTTCAATTCATTGTATGCCTCCACTGTTCTGCCCTCCTTTGCAGGGTCACTGCATGGCACAACTCCAGGGGTACCATTCACACACAGACAGGTGCTTCAGCCTTATGTCTCCTCTCCGCACCTTGCCCTTCACCTCCTTCCTTCCCAGCTTAGATTCCTTGCTCCATTATTTTCACTCACTTGCACTATGAACTCCACTGGCCCTTCATTCTTCATCATAGTTGGTTGACAAACACTAACCCTCATTAAATCAACTCTTCACCTACTCTATTTGAAGCTAACCGAGGCTGAAAAGAAACTACGATACTGACTGGTGTTATTAAATATTCATCAGCACCAACCTCAAGTGAGCCGTTAACCTTGCCTGGCAGTTGTCCATTTCTCTAGTTTGATTAATCTCCCACTCTCCTAGACAGTTATTTCTCATCTTCTCTCACTTCAAACTTCCATCACCTCTTCCTTCATCCTTGTTCTAGCTGATGCTCGTACCCCTCCTTCTCTGAGAAAATAGAAGCAATCGAGGTTTTCCATATATTCCTGCCATTGCATCTACCATATACTCTAACGCATGAATTGTCTGTGTTTCTGTCTAAGACCAATCCTTTTATTTCTCTATTCTCATTCTCTTACCTACGTAAGGACATGGCTCTAATAATTTCATCAGGGTTTCTCTCTGTTCTGAATCATTCTTATCAGGAAACCTGCTATAATCTCATATTTTTTTAAAAAAAAACCCTTTCTTGACCCTGTGATTTCCCCCTCAAAGATTGCCCTCTGCTCCCCTTCACAGCAGTACTCTTCAAAAGTTGATCAGACATTGGAAAAGTGGGTGTTAGTTTGTATTTAAAGAGTAATTTGAAGTAGATGATCCGATAATAAATAAACATGTTTTCCCTTGTTTTTTTGTGTGTGTTGTTGTTACTTATAGAAGCTAAGGGTTCAGAGTCCAGGATTCTCTCATTTCAGCTCTTCTAATCAGGAACAGAGATCAAACACACCCACTGGTAAGCATCTTATATTTAATAAGAAGGCACCTCAAAGAGTTTAGGGTCTTTTTATGATCCTGAAAACAGATGATCTAAGTTGGCTTTAGGGTATAAGAATCTTGGGAGTTTTACTTGGCATAAGCACTTAATTTGGATATGTAGATTTTTGTATCACTTTGATAAAATTTAATTTATTCAGAATTTTGTTCAGGGCATTTAAAATAAAACCTGTTACTTTTGTAGCAGCTATAGTTTTATAGTTTTGATATGAGGGTGTCTTTTGAGGAAATGGGAAAGTTTAAAAGAGCCAGTGACATGAAATTTCAAATGGTCCCTGAAGAACTTCAATTAAGGTTTCCAGGACTTAAAAAGAATATTCTTGTTCAGCCTTTTTGCCTTTACACTAAGAACTATCTCCCCTATTGACGATCCATTTAATCATGGCTTAGTGAAAAGGCCTGCAGTAGGTTGAGTCAATTGAGGGATCTCTAAGACTATAAAACTGCTGTATTTCTTTTCTTGTATTTTTAATATCCTAGGTGACTCCCCATCTGGGGTGAAAACATCGGGCCAAAACAGCAGTGTTCGGGGAAGAGGGATTACCCGCTTACTAGAGAGCATCTCCAATTCCTCCAGCAATATCCACAAATTCTGCAACTGTGAGACTTCACTCTCACCTTACATGTCCCAAAAAGATGGATCCAAATCTTTCTCTTCCTTATCTTAATGATGATACTTTTTTCAATTTCTGGAAGAACAACGGACCCGACTTCCGTTCTCACTACAGTCATATTAAACAGACCACATCAACAATAAATGTCACTACTATAAAAACTACTTAATTTGTAAGGAAATTCTGTTTTCATAGATTAAAAATAATTGTGGTTGGAGAAGATCTTGGCATTTTTGCTTTTTTCTTTAGGGCTTGTTCTACTTTCTGACTGTATCATGGGAATGCCATTGAAGTTTTGAGTCCTATAAGAATAAAACTAGCTTTTACAGAGTTGTGCTTTTGGGAATATTATATTTTGGTATCTTTTCTCTACAATAAAAGTATTAAGTATCTGTTATGAAAGGTTTTAAAATAGTTTTAATCTATTTCTTTCCATTATGGAAATGTGGAACTGTACCCTTGAGACCTGCAGCTGTTTTCATTGCAAATACCTAAGAAAATCAGCCTTTAACAAAAATAAAGTTTTGCTACTTAGTCTTTGAAATATGCTGACTTTGGCAAAAGTCATTTGAAGGATGAGAAGCCAAAAAGAGATTATGTAATTTTCCCCAAATAACATGGCTAGATAGTGACCAGATTCCAGGTCCACTTGACCACAAATCTCTTTGCATATACTAAGTAGATGTATATGAAGTCAAGTATGTGCCCTGTTTGTGACTGACTTAAACTGGCTCATGTTCGCTACTCAGGCTGTTATATATCCTTGGAGTAGGAGAAGAGATGTAGTAACCCTTTTTACTTGGAACCACAGTAAGACCATACATGGCAGTGGCAGAGATCGCATTCTAATTTAGGTCTGTTTGGCTCAAAACCCTAGGGAATCACTTGGTGTCTGTCTAGGACTCTGGTTTATCTTAATACCCATATTCTCCTTTACTAACTACTGAGTACCTACTTTGTGGATGTATATATACACACGCACACACACACACACGTATCATCTTGTAAAATCCTTAATAACCACTCTGAGGAAGGAGGTACCTCCATTTTACAGACACACACAGAACTCAGATTCAGGTCATATAGTTACTTTATGGAGGAATTGTTAACCAGGTCTGACTCCAAAGACCATGTTACCCATATCTACACTTTCACCTCCTGTTCTTTATTTCTGATAATCAGATCTTTAAAAAAAGAATAGGTCATTGAATGTAAGTTTATATACTGCATTTTCTACTAGCAGATTGGTTTTTAAATCTTACATATAAGCTTTGAGACCATTCTTTCTTCAAAATCACCATGACAGTAATTGGGTTGGCTTCAAAAGTGGAGGGAAAGGGCTTCCCTGGTGGTGCAGTGGTAAAGAATCCGCCTGCCAATGCAGGGGACACGGGTTCAAGCCCTGCTCCAGGAAGATCCCATATGCTGGGGAGCAGCTAAGCCCGTGAGCCACAACTACTGAGCCTGCATGCTACAACCACTGAAGCCCGTGCACCTAGAGCCTGTGCTCAGCAGCAAGAGAAGCCACTGCAATGAGAAGCCTGCACACTGCAAGGAAGAGTAGCCCCTACTTGCTGCAACTGGAGAAAGCCCACGTGCAGCAGCGAAGACCCAATGCAGCCAAAAATAAATGAATAAAATAAATCTATTTTTTTTAAATGTGGAGGGGAAAGCCTAAAATTATAATTCAGAGCTATGGCCTTAGCTACTTAAGACTTGTTCTGTGCCATATGACTTTAATCCCGTGTTAATCATTCAACTTGTATTTTAAAATTTTTTCTGGTTGTGCTGTACTTTTGAGGTATATTGTAATATGTCAAACCAGTAGGCCCCACGTCTTTATTTTAGGAGAATAACTGGTCTTTCCCTTCAGAGATAATTAAAACTCTAAACTATATTAGTAGTAAAATTCAAATGGCTGTCTTCTCAAACTCCTGTCCTCTATTTTCAAAATTCTTTTGGCAGTAAATTCAAAAGTATTAACTACCCTTCAAGAAGACCTGATGAATGATAACATATCCTGGTTGAAGGTGATTTCTGCTGCAACTCCAGTAGCATTTTCTTTGTGTTATCTGACAATACTTACAGCTTTTAATTACTGTTGAGTTCATGACCTATCATCTTTTACCCAATTACAAACTTTGCGGTGCCCATATTTCTGTATGAGAAAGGTGTTCAGTACATGTTAGAATAATTGTCATTGGAAGTAATGGAGAAGGTATGCCAGAATTTCATTTCCACATCAAATGATAAAGTATTCCATGAGTAAAGGAGCCCACCTTTCCTATGAACTTCATTCCCATTCCTTTCTTCAAAACTAAGTGATTAACTTTGTTTAGTGAGCATGTTTTAAGGCTTTACTAACAGCTGGGTTAAAAATACTAAGAAGAATAAAGATGTTGCCCCTGCCTTCGAGAAACTCAGTTTCATAGGAGCAGTAAACAATTAATGCAGTACTAAAAGTAGTAGATACATAGATCAATGGAATAGAATTGAAAATCCAGAAATAAACAATCTATATCAATTGATTTTTAACAATTGTGCCAAAACCATTCAATGGGGGAAAGGATAGTCTTTTCAACAAATGGTACTGGGACAACTGGATATCTACATTCAAAAGAGTGAATTTGGACCTTAACCATTCACAAAAATTAACTCAAAATGGATGAAAGACCTAAATGTAAGAGCTAAAACTATATACAATTCCTAGAAGAAAATATGCGTAAATCTTCATGACTTTGGATGAGACGATGGTTTCTTAATAGGACACCAAAAACACAAGTAACCAAAGAAAATATAAATTGGACTTCATCAAAATTAAGTCCAGAAAAAGTGTCCTTGTGTGTGTTAAAGGACATTATTAAGAAAGTAAAAGGACAACCCACAGAATGGAAGAAAATATTGGGTTGGCCAAAAAGTTCATTGGGGTTTTTCCATGAGATGTTACCAGAAAACCCAAACTTTTTGGCCAACCCAACATTTACAAATCATTTATCTGGCACAGTCTAGTGTACAGAATATATAAAGAACTTTTACAACTCAACAATAAAGAGAATCTAATTTTAAAGTGTGTTAGATGTCTCTCGAGGTCTTTTGAACATATTTTAAATTGGGTTGTTCATTTTTTTATTGTTGAGTTTTGAGAGTTCTTTGTACAAGTAAGATAACAGTCCTTTAAATAAACAACCTAATCGTACACCTAAAGCAACTAGAGAAGAACAAAGTCCAAAGTGAGTAGAAGGAAAGAAATCATAAAGATCAGAGCAGAAATAGGAAGAAAACAATAGAAAAGGTCAATGAAACTAAAAGCTTGTTCTTTGAAAAAGTAAACAGAATTGATAAACCTTCAGCCAGACTCATCAAGAAAAAAAGGGAGAGGGCTCAAATCAATAAAATTAGAAATGAAAAAGGAGAAGTTACAGTGGACATCACAGAAATACAAAGGATCATAAGCAACTACATGCCAGTAAAATGGACAACCTAGAAGAAAGGGACAAATTCTTAGAAAGGTACAACCTTCCAAGACTGAACCAGGAAGAAATGGAAAATATGACCAGACCAATCACAAGCACTGAAATTGAAACTGTGATTTAAAAACTGCCAACAAACAAAAGTCCAGGACCAGATGGCTTCACAGGTGAATTCTGTCAAACATTTAGAGAAGAGTTAACTTTCTGAAACTTCCAAAAAATGGCAGAGTAAGGAACACTTCCAAGCTCATTCTATGAGGCCACCATCACCCTGATACCAAAACCAGACAAAGATACCACAAAAAAAGAAAACTACAGGCCAATATCACTGATGAACATAGATGCAAAAATCCTCAACAAAATACTAGCAAACAGAATCCAACAATACATTAAAGGGATCATACACCATGATCAAGTGAGATTTATCCCAGGGATGCAAGGATTCTTCAATATCCACAAATCAATCAGTGTGATACACTACATTAACAAACTGAAGAATAAAAACCATATGATCATCTCAATCAATGCAGAAAAAGCTTATGACAAAATTCAACTCCCACTTATGATAAAAACTCTCCAGAAAGTGGGCACAGATGGAACATACCTCAACATAAGAGGCCACATATGACAAACTCACAGCTAACATCATTCTCAATGGTGAAAAGCAGAAAGCATTCCAAGATGGGGAACAAGACAAGGCTGTCCACCGTCTCTCCTTTTATTCAACATAGGTTGGAAGCCCTAACCATGGCAATCAGAGAAGAAAAAGAAAAGGAATCCAAATTGGAAAAGAAGTAAAACTGTCACTGTTTGTAGATGACATATTATACAAAGAAAATTCTAAAGATGCTATCAGAAAACTACTAGAGCTCATCAATGAATTCGATAAAGTTGCAGGATACAAATATAACACACAGAAATCTGTTGCATTTCTATATACTAACAATGAAAAATCAGAAAGAAATTAAGGAAACAACCCCATTTACCATCACATCAAAAAGAATAAAATACCTAGGAATAAACCTACCTAAGGAGGCAAAAGACCTGTGCTCTGAAAACTATAAGACACTGATGAAAGAAATCGAAGATGACAAACAGATGGAAAGATATACCATGTTCTTGGACTGAAAGAATCAATATTGTCAAAATGACTATGCTACCCAAGTTAATCCACAGATTCAATGCAGTCCCTATCAAATTACCAATGGCATTTCTCAACTAGAACAAAACATTCTAAAATTTGTACGGAAACACAAAAGACCCTGAATAGCCAAAGCAATCTTGAGAAAGAAATACGGAGCTGGAGGAATCAGGCTCTCTGACTTCAGACTATACTAAAAAGCTACAGTAATCAAGACAGTATGGTACTGGCACAAAAACAGAAAAATAGATCAATGGAACAGGATAGAAAGCCCAGAAATAAACCCACACACTTTTGCTTAATTAATCTATGACAAAGGAGGCAAGAATATACAATGGAGAAAAGACAGTCTCTTCAACAAGTGGTGCTGGGAAAACTGGACAGCTACATGTAAAGGAATGAAATTAGAACATTCTCTAATACCATACACAGAAGTAAAGTCAAAATGGATCAAAGACCTAAATGTAAGGCCAGACACTATAAAACTCTTAGAGGAAAACATAGGCAGAACACTCTTTGACATAAGTCACAGCAATATCTTTTTGCCCCACCTCCTACAGTAATGAAAAGAAAAACAAAAATAAACAAATAGGACCTAATTAAACTTAAAAGCTTATACACAGCAAAGGAAACCATAAACAAATCAAAAAGACAACCCATAGAATGGGAGAAAATATATGCAAAAGAAGCAACTGACAAGGAATTAATCTCCAAAATATACAAACAGCTAATGCAGCTCTATGTAAGAAAACAAACAACCCAATCAAAAAATGGGCAGACGATCTAAATAGACAT